AGTCACACCTCTTCCAGACTCGACATTGTTAACATTCTCTTTGGCCCTTGGACAAGCCTTACATATTTGCAATAATACAAAATATATAGAAACATCAAGTCTGTCGTAAGACCACAACGAATCCCAATATTCAATACAATAACTTACGGAAAGCTTTAATACACATAACTTACGATGCATACATAAAAAGTAAGCATATAACATATGATACCGATACAATAAATCCTACAGCATAAGTTTGCTCACCGACCAATTCTAGCAGTCTCCTTTCTTTCAGACTCGTCTCCACCATTCGACCAAAATGGCGAGCACGTCGCAGCAGTACTGCCTGCGATGGAACAACCACCGCTCGAATTTGCTGACGGTGTTCGACGAGCTGCTGCAGAACGAGGCGTTCACCGACGTGACCCTGGCCGTGGACGGTGGCGTCTCTGTAAAGTGCCACAAAATGGTCCTCGCGGCGTGCTCTTCCTACTTCCAGACCCTGTTCATCAATCTACCTTGCAAGCATCCCATAGTCGTGCTCAAGGACGTCAAGTACTCCGAGATCAAGGCCATCCTGGAGTACATGTACCGTGGGGAGGTGAATGTGGCTCAAGAGCAGCTGGCAGGCCTGCTGAAGGTTGCGGAGGTGCTGAAGGTGAAGGGTCTGGTCGAGGAGAACGGCTCCCAGGGTCGTCGCGAGGAGGTGGAGACGTCCATGTCGCCTCCACCAGCTATCAGCACGAGCACCACAAGCAGCGTGGCTCACAGCAGCGGGCACACCTCACCGCCTCACTCTACGGGCACTTCCTACAACATGTATGGGAGATCTCCTGTGGAGCAGGCCTCGAATCGCCTCCCCTTACCCATGTGGCCTCTCTCAGGGCTTCCCATCTCCCACACGAGCTCCAGTCACCAGACAACCTCCCATTCTCAACACTCTTCTTCTATCCTGACCGGTTCCTACAACAACGGCTTCGAGACTTCTCCCCTGAAACGTAAGAAACTCTCCAATATGCTGATGAACAGGGACACGCCCATCCTCAGGACGGTCCTGGGCCAAGGCCACGCGGATAGCTCACAAGGCATACCTCTGTTGCACCCAGACGAGGGACACTTTCGGAACACCAGCAACGGCTCCTCGAACGAGAACGAGAGACGCAGCAGCACGGACGTCACGCACCCGGAAACCGCCCACAGCCCTTACACGGACGTCTCCATGATGGACGAGGACGACAAGCAGCCGTCGCCGCAGTCTTACACTGGGGACGTCAAGTCAGGTACAGGAGAAAGGCAGAGAAAGGCAGAGAAAGGCGGGAGATGATGGGAGACGAGTCCATGGGTAGCCAGGGTTGAGGTTTAGGTCCCTTCGTGGTTTGGTGGTTTTGTTTTCTTGAAATTGAGAAATGGGGAGCTTCTTATGAGGGTTATTGGGAGATTTGGGAGCCCACAATTTAAAGAAAGGCAACTCTGATGGGAACATAGTTCTGGAAGCGACCGTAGAGAGGCGTGGTGGTCGTTTAAAAAATTACAGATTGACTTGGTTACATGTAACACGTAGCATAAGGCTCATTCGTTGGGACGAATAAAATGTAAATTATTATGAAATCAAATTACATATGCATCTGTGCAATCGCGTCAATCCGCCAGTTTTAGACGACCTCCACGCCTCTCTACGGCCATTTCCGGAACTAAGAAAGGGAATTCCCCTTTTCTTAAAGCAAGAACCATGAAGACTCATGAACGACGCACTAGCGCCCCGAGTGGTAGAAATTAAAGAAATTAAAGCTCGGGATTTTGATAACAGTTTTCTAGTAACTTTCGTATGGAGTTGGATCACCTTATGCAGTCTTCATGACAAGAGCCATGAAGAGGACCTTCCCTCTAAACAAAAAGAATTCCAAAATCCCCTCCTCCTCAGAAGCAAGAACATCCCTTCCCTAAAACAGAATAACTCCAAAACAGAATTCCTGAGAACTCCGAAAACATCCAAACTGAAACTGAAACTGTCCCGTGTTCCCAGGTATCGCAAACTACGTTCCAACCCAGAAGCCGGAATGGAAGCGTTACAAACAGTACACGCGAAACGACATAATGTCGGCGATAGAGGCTGTGCGGGCTGGGATGAGCGCGTTGCAGGCGGCACGTAAGTACGGGGTACCTTCCAGAACCCTTTACGACAAGGTGAAGAAGCTGGGTATCACGACGTCGCGACCTTTCAAGCGCGGCTCGAACGGGAGCGGCGCGTGCTTTCCATACGGGATCGGAGGCAATGCGAACGGTGGCATCTACGGCGGTACCTTCTCCGAGAACGAAAACGAGAACAGCAGTAACACGGCGATGGAGAGTCCCGGGTCGATAATGGAAACGTACAAGCCTAGAGATTGTCAGATGGAACGCGACATACTGGACATAACACGGTGCAGTCCAAGTCCCAGCCCGGTGATGCATTCCGTCAAGCAACAGAGCAACGAGGACCAAGTGGAGGACCTTTCCGTGAGCCGCAAGCCGGACGTCCGCGTGATAGTACCGCCAACGTCGGTGATAAAAGATGAAGAGGGTGTTGGCTCGGACTCCTGCAATCACAACTAACAGAGGATATGTTTGTTGTTTCTCGATATCGTTGGGAAGCTCGTCAGGCTCCCAACAGCAACTGGACGTACTATATCTCGGTTATAACAGCACCAATTGTAAGGGTTTTAGGTAATTTAAGAGAACGGGGCTTAGACAAAATTATACGTGGGAGTCTACATTGTCCTACGAAGCTGATGGGTGAAACTCTGTTGGGTAATGTTTGTAGCTCGCTATTTGTAAAGACAATCTCACGTTTGTGCCTCAGGGGGAGCAAGGTGTTACCGAAATGGAGGAGTAAGCAACCGAATCGTAGCCAGTTAAGTAAGCAGGTTGTTTGGCGAGACTCAGGGATTAGCAGTATGTTACCACTGTAACGATAACCCATAGAATGCAGACGTTCGTTAGAACCAATAAGGATACCAAGGATACCGATTCTTGAGGTTCTTGAGATTCTTCTATTTTACACAAGACTGATTAATGCGTTGTGGATATTAGAGACTGAAATAGGAACTTACGTTCCAAAGTTGTTAAAGCCTAATGCTGACAATTGTGCCTTTTACTTGCATCGATAATCCTTGTCTGAAGTTATCTAGCGACACTTACACTTAATCGGGCGTTGAAGATCCTCCGTCGAACAATCTTACACGATTCATTTTATTATCTCGTTCTAAAAATATATATTCGAATCGCATTAAGCTTTAAAACTTCTGGACCAGTGAGTATGCATGTACAATTTTTTATTACTTATTATTGTGATTCGATATCTTTTCATTTCCTTTGGCAATCGACATAGTACTATTAGAGGTTTAATCGAGTTCGATGGATCGAGACGTGTAAAACGGGGGGTTGTATATTATTTTAGCAATTTTATTATTTTTCTTTCAACAAAGATATACTCCTATCTTCGGCGTTAAATACTGTCGATGGGACATTATTACGCGAAAGAGGAAAAGAGAAAAAGAATTGTACACAATTAATTTCGTTAACGACTGAGATATCGCTGTTAATTTGTTGGTAATTATAAGATTACATTATCGTTACTGATCATGGCCCTGGGATACAGCTGCAATATTGCTCAATATTATATGGATTATACATACAATAACGAACTACCTCATCGTACAACGAACATGATCGTTCATTAACGTTTAAGACTGATAGAATGAGCCGAACCTGCGTTACCAGCTCGACGAAACCGTGTTCATTTTTTTCTTCTTTTTTTTTTTTATTTTATTTTATTTTACTGATATATGTATACACGAGAGAAGAGTATATATATATACACACACACATATATATATATATATTATATATAAGTTATGAAAAGTATATTATATTATGAGAAGATATAAATTTTTAATTATGATATAGTTATAGAGTACGAGAGAGCAGTTGTCTTAATTATGTTACGGATACAATGATTCATAGACACTAATTTGTTACGTAAAGTCTCAGTCGTCTCTGTAAATCGTTGTATTCGATATTTCGCGTTGTCTCTTGTATCGAGACTACATTGTTCGATGTGTTTTTCATATAAAGTTGCGTAGATCACGAGTTTTACGCATTTGGGGATACTCTCGACGCGGAGATACGTAAATCGATTTTTTTTTTTTTTATATAGAGAATTTTCAAAGGAGGACTTCGTACATACAGATATATCGCAATGTCCATCAGGTTGAGACTCGAGTCACGAATGTAAATTCATTCGTTCGTGTAAACAAAATTTAGTGGCGAACTCCGTATATAGAGATATATTGTAATAGTCCATCAGGTTGAGACTCTTATATATTTAAATTCATTATAATGAAGATATACCACGTAGAGGTATATCACACGTTCATTATTGATCTCAGATTTTATGAAAAGTACAAATAGTACAATAGTACAATCAGTTTAAGCAGTAATAGTAAAGGAACATCTTGACGATGAGACCTTTTGTATAGTGAAGTTTGTTCGTAACAAACAGAACAGTGTTCCAAAACCCTTTGCACTCCATGTAATCGAGGTTGCTCGACTTCAAGAAGGTTTCTATTAGATCTTTGTCAGTTTATACAACCTTTTCTCACGAGTTACACATTTGTACCAACGCAGTTTGCAATGAAAATATTATATTTCATTGTTTATAGTTCATCTTGCCTTGGGAATGCGAAGGGTTAGGACTTTGTTCGAGTTCCAGACAAGTTTCTCTGTATCGATACCAAGATACTCTTCAATAAGTACAAACCAAAGCTGCCTTGAAACTTGTTTACCTCAGCATTTATATACATAGAAAATGCCATAGTAGTTTTTAAAGAATAGCGATTGATAACGTGTTCCATGGGTTTTTAAATCTCATCTGGGTTTCATCTTTCGTTTTAAATTCATTTTACTCCTGATTTTTAACTGTTCAGGTCCCCCTTCTGCCTGTTGCGCAGAGAAGATGAGATTCAGGTGAAATTTTAACCTACTTAGTTTCATAATAAACTGCGTAACATTGTACCTGCACACTAATCGCAAAGAAAGAAATGACTGATCCTTGAATTAGTGGTTGTCGCAGCCACATATATATACATATAGATAAACAAAGAAATAGTAAAGTTCAAATATAAAAATATTATTTATAACAATAGGAGAGAGGTGATAATAGTACAAGCTACAAGTCTGACATAGGTAAAGAAATGAAGTTTTACAGGCGTAAACAAACTTTAGTTCAATTTTTTTTTATTAAACACAGGGATTTTAGAATATATACCCAAATGTCTGAACGAATACTTGTTACGTATCGTAATAATGTGTGAAAGTTACGTGTTCAAAGTAAATGGAGAAAGAAAGAAAGCGTAAAGGATGGAAACTCTCAGTACGTAGGAAAATGATACACGAATCGATAAGGTATTCAGAAACATATCAGCATGTTGAAATCCGCGCTCGAAGATGTCCTGTCGAACTTTTTTTAGATGTTAATTCCGTAAAGTAAGAAAGAAGAAGCATAGCAATATATCGAATGCACATGGAAAAAAGCTACGTGGTCTGGTACTGAGAACCGATAAGTTTTAATTCGTATGGCATAACGTTAATGATTTTAATCAATGCGTAGACGCAATCTTGGATGCCTTACGAGAGCGTAGGACTTTAGGTATTCTAGCTACTGTATTAGGATTGTAAATAATCGAGAGAGGAGGGAGAACGAAGTTGCCTTTTATTTGTACGTAAACTTAGCTTCGTATTATTTCTTAAGACTGATTTTTGCTACGTTGAGAAAGAATTTGCACATACACATTCACACGCGTACGTACATACACATTTGATTAATTGTAAGTTTTTACCACCATAAAGTACGGCTCTTGCTTTTCATCTCCACTATGTGGATGCATGTTACTGGAACTGTACGAGTTTGTTATAAAATATAATATACTGAGAAACTGCGATAATTAAGCGTTTTCTCCCATTCTTTTGTGCGTGCAAATTCCCTGATAAACAAAATAAATAATAAAAAGCATCAACCTATATTATGCAATTGTAATACAAATATTTGTAATGTGAGAAAGTATAGCGAACAGGATTTATTCTGAATTCTACGTTGGATCGAATAGAGTTGATTAAATATATCCTTTGTTTCTGTTTTTGTTCTGGAATAGAATCAACTGTGCGTTTGTAATGTTTTAAATATTTTTAAAAATTTATAAGGAGTCAAAGGACTCATATCGTAATTTTCCATTAGTAAGCCATTACTTCAAGTACTATTTGTAATAAATGTCGTAAATGTATTAAACTCGTCTCGAAACTAGAATGAATTTTAATTTAGATTAGTTGGATTATTTAGATTATCGAGGGATTACAATTTGTTTTTGATGAAAAGTATGAAACAGATCCAATGTATTTACATATTTATATTGATACATCTACATATACATATCAGTATAAGTAACAAAATCATGTATATAAAGTATAAAATGTTTGTTTGTCGATCAAAGTAGGTTGCTCTTGTATACAGAAAAGTGCAAGTAGAATTTTAGAAAATTGGGTCAACTTGGTACATTTAGATTTCTTATTAGTCATTTAGCGGTGAATAATTTGTAACTCTTTTAGTAGAGTTATTTACAGCTGTAGTTAAATGATAATCGTGAATGGTTTATTTCTTCGAACTCTTTGTTCGTCTTTTGAAAGGGAAATTCTAATGAAAAGTGAAAATTTAAACTAAAATATGATTTATGTATCGAGATATGCTGTACATAATTATCATGATTCGTTGCTTTCCAACGATACAATATATTAGTTAATATATACAATTTTTCATCTACAGGGTGTTTCAAGGGTGATTCGGAGGGTGATTTGAAACAACTTTTTCCTTAGCAAAAATGTTATTCGAGGCTTCGTTAAGGAGATATTAACAAAAAGCCTCGACCAATCAGAGCGCGAGGATGCCGGTGGAGCGCGACCGCTTAGCGAATAGCTTACGACCGCGGGCGCTCCATTGGCATACTCGCGCTCTGATTGGTCGGGGAGCGCGGCCGCCTAGCGTTCTGATTGGTCGAGGTTTTCCGTTAATATCTCCGCAACGAAGCCTCGTACAACATTTTCGCTAAGGAAAAAGTTGTTTTAAATCACCCCTTATCAACCTGTTACAACATTTTCAATGCCAGATTTGGCTCCCACTCGCGCATGCGTGTGAACGCGCATTGAAAATGGCTGAACGCACAGTGCCGTAGCTATAGGAAACGAAGTATGATCCCACAGCAACGGTTGACGCCAAAACCAGGAAAACCGTTTTTTTTCCGTTATAAAAAATGCGTTTCGTTTGTAAGATTATTTCAACCCCTATCTCTATGTTATAATTTATCCATACGATTAGTATTATTGAATGCTAAGAAGTATTTCCAATTTTCATTTATGCGTGACTGGGTGCCAAATATGACGTCACTGCCCTGGAAGGTGCGTCGATGTTCCTAGGGAATCCTTAGGGAATTTTAGCGTATTCAAAGTATTCAAAGTATTCAAAGCTTATTTGAAAAATGTTTATACCAATTAACGTTAGCTGCAAAGATTTGTTTCAGGTAAAAAGTCTTTCAATAAGTCCCAGACTCTATCATAAATAAGCTAGTAGTTAAATCGTCGTATACTCGTACATAATTAATAATTGTTAGCTACTCTGTAATACGTTACTGCTTTGGAAAGTTAACGGATGCGAATATCAGCCAATTGCAATGATAAAGTATTGCTGATAATTATAATATGTCGCATTAAGAACAATTCTATCGTATCCCAATGTTTGTTGGAAATTTGATAAATATTGGAAGGCACGTCGGAAAATAAAAATTAAGCTATTATTGCTATTAGTATTCGTAATAAATCGATTAGGCTACTTTGTACGAAAATAATTCGTTATTGTAGCATTGAACTAAATTGTTTTTCTAGATCGAGCGGTAGCTTTATTATGTTCCCTGGACTGGGTAATGGCACGATGTTATAATGTAAAATTAGTTCAGCGCCTGTTTTTGCTGTGTACTCGCGATTACCCATTTCCGTAGCCTAATTGAAATTCTTCCCCGCGGCGATATCGGTGCTCTCTCGCTCTCCCTCCCCCTCCCCCCTCTCCCTTCGCCCCTCTTTCTCTCTCTCTCTCTGCTCTGACTCTGACATCGTCGCGATCAAACGCGAAGAATCGTTTAAACGCGAACAAAAAAGTCGCCTCGATCGAAACTCAATTTAACTCGTACGAAATTATTAAAATTCGTTTTAATCTCGAGAATAGTTAATTATATATTTACTTAATTTATTACGAATGGGAATTAAACTAGATGTATATATATATAATTATAATATTAATTAATTAATTCTGAATACTGCATACACAGATGTATTGTTATGTGTCCATTAGGTTGATTCAATTATAATGAAGATTTGGTTGATTTGGAGGTTAATATTCTAACGATAATAGTCAAAATTTATTGGTTTTCGAATTTCGTATATACAGGGTGTCCCAAAAAATATTCTAACTCGTTGAAAGGAGTGGTTCGGGAGATGATTTGAAACAACTTTTTCCTTAGCGAAAATGTTGTCCGAAGCTTCGCTAAGGAGATATTAATAAAAAACGTCGACCAATCAGAGCGCGCGGATACCGTTGGAGCGGCCGAGGTAGCGATGGCTAGGCGCTGAGCGGCCGCTCACGTACACGCGAACAAGTGACTCGACGTGCATCGAAGGACATTGAGCGACTGCTCAGCGCGTAGCCTTCGCTACCTCGGCCGCTCCAACGGTATCCGCGCGCTCTGATTGGTCGACGTTTTTTATTAATATCTCCTTAACGAAGCCTCGGATAACATTTTCGCTAAGGAAAAAGTTGTTTCAAATCATCTCCCGAACCACTCCTTTCAACGAGTTAGAATATTTTTTGGGACACCCTGTATATACGAAATTCGAAAACCAATAAATTTTGATTATTATCGTTAGAGTATTAACCTCCAAATCAACCTAATCCACCTCTCTAACCACCTCCCTCAGGGTGTTACAAAATTTTTGGGACACCCTGTATATACAAAATATTGTAATGTCCATCAGGTTGAGACTCGACCGATGAATTTAAACTCATCCTATCGAAGATATTCCGAAGAATACTACCATCAAACGAAACAACGAGAGAATATTTCTATCCATTAAAAAATTACAAATAATTAAATTCAAATAATTACGTAAGTAGAAATTTCTACTCTTAAAAATATCGATCCTCTCTCAATTGAACCATACAATTAATTCTCGATTGTTATTACAAGTCGACCATCCCTCAGCGTAGAGACTTCCCGGATCTATTCTTCGTCGTAACGAAACCGAGCAACCAACACCCCCTGAAAAAAAGGAAAAAAAAAACAAAAAGCATGGCGTCGTATGAACGGTGGTCAACGACCATCAACGACCAAGGGAACGATCAAATCCCACGGAGCGCGCCGCATTATCACAGGTCAGTACGCCTCTGGTCATCCCTCCTATAGTTCTGTCCCTCTAATAAGTCTCATTCCAGGGTACGCGCACCGAGAGAATAATTATGGTCTTGCGCAGATCGGCGAAACGGGGTCGGTGGGGGACGGTAAGGAGAAATAAAGCTCAGAGCCCCAGCCGGTGAATGCCAGTGAACACCAGCGTACGCGGCCACGGATACCGAATTTCCACCCCTGCTCGTTTCGCTCCCCTCGCAGAAATTCTGGGGGCGACCCCTAAGAGGCGCGAGTCTCTGTCGTCTCCCTCTCTAACGAGCGCCTCCGACGCTCGCCTCTCCGCGGTCCGGTGAACGGGAACGAGTGATATCGTCCAACACCGCGGTATCATCCGCCTTTACTCGTCTCACGCTTTCCAGGACACGCTGGAACATCGGCAGTCGCTCGTCACGTTTCCCTGGATGCCGAGGCATGCGCCCTAAAAACTCCAGGATTGATGTATTGCAGAGCGCAGGTACAAATCAGATTGTCTCGCGTGTGTGCGCGACGAACATGGCTCTAATTTCCTTTGGAATAATACATAATGAAATGTACACTCAATTCCGTCTTACGCAGGCTTCTTTTGGTTCAACATGCTTCACAGTAACAGAGTATTCAGTTTATTTTTGGTACGATTGCATTTGATCCAGGACTGTTTAAAAAATCTCTGGAGTCATCCATCGTAAAGAGATTCAATGATTTCAAAGGTTCTGAAACCTAAAGATAATACGTCTGATGAAATGTACACTCAATTCCGTCTTACGCAGGCTTCTTTTAGTTCAACACGTTTCACAGTAACAGAGTATTCAGTTTATTTTTGGTACGATTGCATTTGATCCAGGACTGTTTAAAAAATCTCTGGAGTCATCCATCGTAAAGAGATTCAATGATCTCCGAGGTTCCAAAACTTAGAGATCTGTTTTCTCTATTACAATTTCCTTTGGAATAATACATCTCATGAAATGTATACCCAATTCTGTCTTACGCAGGCTTCTTTTGGTTTAACATGCTTCACAGTAACAGAGTATTCAATTTATTTTTGGGACGATTGCATTTGATCCAGGACTGTTAAAAAAATCTGAGAAATCAAATTCAATAGATTAGATTTGTGTCTTCATAAGAACTTTCCATATTATATACGTAATTGTTGTTTTTAATCCTTGTATTCAACTCATTTTACTTTACATATACGCAATGTTTTTTTTTACACAGTGTTTTCTCATGTTTTCACACTTTTTTTCTGAAACATATTCACGGTGTAAAAACAGAATTGGGTGTATTAATGATTGATGAAACAACAGAAACAAGTACTACTGGAAATGTTTGCTTACGTACCTATAATCACACAAAAACAACAGCTGAACATTGTAATCGAAATAGTCAATTCTCTACTTACAATCTGTACATGTTTGAAAGAAATACTTTCCGTAAAAAATATTACTAGCTTCTAAATTTACAAAAATAAGTACTACTGCAAATGTTTGCTTACGTACCTATAATCACACAAAAACGATAGCTGAATCTTGTAATGAAAATAATTAATTTACTAACTTTTTTCATTGTAGATCTGCATTTATTACTTGCTGTGGACAGCAACGCTGAGCCCAAGACTTACGCTACAACAGGAAACCACTACTACCAAAATTTGGGACTGCCCTACGAAATGCATTTGCCTTTCCCCGAAGCAGGTGACTATTCTCAACTATAATACGATATAGATATATAGTTAGACTAGGAAGTAGGCATGATTTTATATGAAAATCAAGAAAAGTTCCAACTGAGATTTCTCTAGAGTTGTCGAAAGGTCAATATTAGATGGCTAAGATTCCATCAGCACTTAATCCTCAACCGATGCACCCAGATGAGCGATTAGTCATTAGTTAAGCTCAGATTAAGGCCTGCAATACCACCAGATCGCATGTAGCATTCCATGTTCGCATATTACAGTAGGGTGTTACGCACAATTACGGCTCTGATCTCACAGAGTTGGATGGATGTCGAGATCAAACATCAGTTTATGAATCACAGGGAATTCGCTTAAGAAGTCAAGCTTCGCAATACACAAACACACAGCTAAAACTGATTCGATAGAGGGTTAAATATACAAAGTAGGGTTAAGTGTATTGTTGGAAAGACAGTTATACTTTTGAAGTTAGACATTATTTTATAGATAATTGTCAGCTGCTGCTGTTGAATGGTAATTTAATCCTTTCGAGAGGTGACTCTGAGTGACCGCTAGGTTTACTTTAGGTTTAATTTCTTTGGAACCCGAAGTGTCAATATAATGCTTGTCGTTAAGGCAGAGGTGACCTGATTCTCAAATCTGAAATTAAGGATCTCCAGAGAATGCTAAGAAAGCATCTCGAGTTGCTGATAGATACCAGAAAAAAGGCCTCGAGTCCCAAGGGTTAAGAGCTGTCGAATGAAATCAAGTATCATATCGAACAAGTTGTTCAGGTCTATTTAATAATCATGATGAAACATGAAACACTAATGAAACATGAGCTAATCATGCGTTAACTATTTGCAGGTTCTCTGCAACACAGGGGGCCTGGAAGACATCCCTACGCAGCACCTGCCCCAGACAGTGGAGGAGCTCTCCCTGACGAAGAACAGTTTCCCGATAATAAAAAGCGACGCGTTCTTTGGACTGAAGTCCCTGAGGAAGTTGACGATGGATGGTAACAACATCTCCACCATACGTCCGTTCGCGTTCCGCGGTCTGAGCAAGCTGCGCGAGCTCTCAATTCAACACACGCCCCTGCCCTTCATCGAGCAGTTCTCGTTCGCTGCTCTGCAGAACGTGTCTGTGTTGTTGCTGGCGAACAACAAGATCCGTTACATAGAGGGCTACTCGTTCGCTGGCACGTCGAACATACGAGTGATCCTGCTGAGCAACAACCCGTTGCTCCGAATCCAGAGTCACGCGTTCTCTGGCTTGACGAACGTGGTCCGTTTGATCTTCCCATCCGGCATCAGGACCATCGAGCCGGACGCGTTCGACGGCCTGCAGCACGTTGGACTCCTAAAACTGACCTACATGGACCTCTCTTCGCTCCAGTCCTTCACCTTCCGCGGCCTGTCGTACGTCCACTCTCTGAACATTCAGGAGAGCGACCTGGGCATCGTCGAGAAGAACGCCTTCGACGGGCTGGACCACGTGGACCGACTGAACATATTGAACAACAAGATCGACCTCATCGAGAGACTATTCCTCAAGCACGAGAACAGCATCGAATTGTTGAGATTTCACGGGAATCACGTGCTAGAGGCCCCTCGCCACGCCAGAGACATCCACTTGGAGGTCGGTTCCGTCAGCGTTGTCGACAATCACTTCCCTTGCGATTGTCAGGCTCACAACGTGCTCGAAAGCGACTTTGTTAATGGCACGGTCACCGAGTTCCAGAAGATGAACTACTGTATCTCGCCCATCGAGTACAACGGGAAACCCATGAACCTGGTGGACTTCGACTTGATCGCCAGGTGCCACGACAACGTCGTCCAGGACAACTTGGGCTCGGGAGTTGTGGGGATATTTTCACTGCCAACGACTCTCTTTCTTGTTCTTTTGTTCTCGATGAACTTGTTTCATTGAGTCGAGCTCAAGCTCCGATGAGCTACTTACGTCATATCACTGAAATTGTTGCTCGAGGTAAGAGGAGAGGATTTCAGTTGTCTTTCGAGTACAAAGTTGCTAATTGTTTCTAATTCTAAACATACCAGTTCCAGTTTGGGTTTAGTGTGGATCGTTGAATAGTAAAGGTAGCTTTGAACTTCCATAAATCTTTTACCAAAGATGTTAAAATAATATATTTAACATATATGTGGTAATTATTCACAATAATGGAGAGCTGAATGACTTTGATAGCTTTGGAATAAATGTCTAGTTTTCAAGATATGGTTATTAAGAATCAGAATCAGGTGATCGCTAAGTAAATTCTAATTCTAAACACCAAGTAAGGTGTAGTAATTGGGGAAAAATATGCAGAATAGTATCATTACCTCTGGTTTGTGTATGTGTATGATTCCTAAAATTTGAAACCAGTAGTCGCAGCAATTGCACCGCCTCAGAAATATCAGTGTTTTTAGTTTAATACTCACACAGAAATAACAATCTCTGTTATTGGGCATTAAAGAAAACATAATATATTACAAGTGAGTATAATTATAGTACAGATACTATATTCGTAATATATTCGACAAAGTATTTTCGAGGAACTGTGCACTTTCTGTACTCGCTCCCATAAAACATCTTTTTCATAATTATGTATCCCATAAATATATCAAATCGACAGCCTAATAATGATCACGTTTCATATAATTATTACATCTAGTAAAATGGTTTGCTCTTCGAAGCAATCAATGACCTTCCTTCACAAAGTATCAAAATGTTGTAAACTACATAATTCCTCAAATTCATAATAATATCTTGAAATGAACTCTCCTTTGACAAACTGCAAAGCCATTGAAGTCAACAATGTCTACGCTATTGTAAATAATTACCTACTGGTATCAGTATTCCCATCGGTGAACATGCTATCGATGAAAGAACTGATCTCTATTGATTTACATCGTTTCCACATAAACAACACTTTTCGAAAGTATAGCAAAACTGTTGTATAACTTGATATCATTTTTCGTATCACCTTTTACTTTAAATTATCCTTCTGTACATAGCGAATCGTTTTGTACGATACGAATGGTGCAGAAATTAATACTTGGATCTTATTTTAGATGAAAAGAGATAAACTGCGCAAATAGTCATCCATTGCATTAAAATTAATTTCTTAGAGAATGACAATTTATAGTTAAACGTAAAGATTTTATTTATCTTTTACAACAGTAGATATTAATTTAAATTTGTTACGGTCTTTTAATTTTTGGAGACAAGCCTTGTTAAAGAGTAAAATTAATTTATAATCAAGCGTAGAGATTTTATGTACCCTCTAAAAAGTTATGAATATCAAATTAAATTTGTTCCGGTCTTGTAATTTTTGGAGCCTTGCGTGGCTGACTATTGTTGCAGCATCGCTTCGCAAGATAATTAACAATTATTAACGACTCTTTCAGACATTCACTGTATTCGATTATTGTAACTCGCACAATCTTAAGAATGCGACTACGAGCTTTAAACTGACCGGTGTAACTGGGTTAGTGAAACTGCATCCGTTTAGGATTTATTCTGTAAATTAGGAGTGATCGCAAAAGTGTGACTTGTGTTTGCACTTGTCCACTTCGCAGCATGTTAACCCTTTGTTTTGTTCATTCTTCTGTTGCCTAAATTATTGTGGAGCTCAGTAATTAATTATACGATAGATTCGAGTAAGATTTAATACTTTGGTGCAGCTTTTAGGCCTTTACGGTCCAGATGTTCTTACTTCGATACACTTTTGTTGAACGAAGTTGGAAAGTTAAAGTAGGACTGCGAAGGTTTAATGCATGCCCAGGCAATTATTAATCGAAACGTTCTGTGTCGAGTGCACAAAACGAAGGGTTATCAATTCGAGTAAATAATTCTCGTCGACGATAATGAAAGTATGTAGAGATTAAGAATATAATAAGTTCGACTCGTATTAAGAATCCTTCGAAGGAAGAAAGTTCGCGCGATTTGAAGGAAATGAATCGCGATAATTTGTGCTTGATCTTAGAAAGAGTTAACTCTTTGATCTAGAAGATTGATTCGATTCAAACTTGTGGTGCGTAGTCAAAAAAAATTAGAATTTATAGAGATAAATCTTCTTCGCAGTATAATTGTTCTCTCAGTTCTCTGACAATTTTCAATTGATTTTTCTGGTTTCAACGTTTCATCTTAGGTAAAAAGAAATCGCATTGAACATATCAGAATATATTTCAAGTTCTGTACCAAGATCTTGGTTAGAAATTCCAATAAGTTGTTTTCAATGTTTACGATAGACACATTGATAAACATATCAGGGTAGTTTTGTTAGGGGAGTTAACTCTTTGTGCGATCGTTCTACGTGTGCGTAGTCTTCCTTGCCTAAAAGAACCACTCTCATCACAGCAGATTTGTTACATGTACAGCGAAGAACTTTAATATCTTAACGTTCTACAATTTCAATTGTCGCTTTAATTGTCTACGAAGAAAGATGTTTGAAATTCATCTTGCAAGCAAGATTGTGAATCGAACATGTAAACTATGCTTTTGTTAACTAGGTTTAATGCTTGAATACGCATCTCGATTACTTTATCCTTCGTCATAGACAAATTTACAAAGTGACAAGGTGAAATATATAAAATATTAAAGTTACTCGTTGCGAGAGAATCTAAAGCTAGCGATCTAGAGAGCTTCCTAACGAACCATAAGCAACCTGCTTACATTTCATGAACAATTTTTCAAATTGAAATTTCAAGATATTTGTGGCTTTCGTTGATACTAATCACTCCGATGTTGCAGCCAGCTTCTTCAGGGTTCAAATGACTGATTAAAGATACCCTTTGTTCCTAATTTTATTTTCGAATAAACTGTGTTAAGTTTATCATGTTTTTTACATTGTCGTCACAGTATTAACAACTTCACCTCGAAGCTACAATTTTCTGTAATCTAAAATATGCAAATTTGCTTTCTTCGATGGGTGTAAATAAATAAAGAATGCCCATATGTATATTCTACTTCTGTTTTAGTTGGAAAATATGCTGACAGTATATACAGTAGTAAAATATTTATTCAATTCCTGGCAATCGCTACAATGTAACACCCTGAAGAAGTTAGCGAAACGTCAGAGTATCTCATTCAGATTAATATCAACCAATTCCATCTTCGTTTCTCGGCCTAAATTCACAGTACTACCGTTTTTTAATGTAACAGACTCTCAATGTAACACAGACAATGTGTCACAGACTATTCGAGCAAGAAAGTTCTTAGAAATGGCATTACAGTAAAACCTCCATTATTGCATGGTATTGACAATTGAAACTTCCACTTCCAATTCGCCTAATCAGAAGCATTCGTAGTTTTCTGGTTTCCTGCAATAATCGAAATTCTACTGTACATCGAACGCCTCTTCCACGCGACGATTGAAATCAAAGTCCAAAAAGAGAGAAGCTATCATTTGTTGTAAACACAACGTTTGTACGGTAAATGTACGAGAGGGGTATTTTAAATTTTCAACGACAAGAATATTTCTAACGTAACGCTCCCAAAGCTTCCCCTGTTTTAAAACCCAGTGGACAAAAAATCGTGCTTGTAACTACGAGAAGAAAAAAAAAAAGGTAAAGAAAAGGGAAACGGTTCTTCCCTCGCCATTTGTAATGTAAAATCTGCATGGCCTTCGGTCAGCATAGTAACCGAGGACCAAACTAGCTTATATTTTTTACCAACATCTAACACGTAACGTATAACGAAAAACAATAATTAGGCACTGTAACCTTTTATTGTAGTTAGAACAGTCTGTCATTTAATAAACAGTAAAAGACGATTATCTCGCGTGTCCTAGCGTTACATTACATTTTGCTGTAGAGGAATGTAATCGAAGAGAACGTGCGACAGGTTCAATGTATCCAAACAAGGGCTAACATCTGAAACGATGTACTCTTTATTTCCATCAAGGCGTATGTTTGTTTTTACACTAATCTCCATTGATAATAAAGTCTTCAACGCAAGGGAATGGTCTTTGGTGGCGGCGGTGCTACGACTTCTCCCAAACTCTCAATGTAGTAGTTATAGAATCTGTAAGGCTTGATCTCCCAAGGTATCTGGGATTCCATGTCGATGGGTGTTATGCCTAGATCCTCCAGGGTTGGCAAGTTTGGCAGCACGGTGTCGGAGACGTGTTGCTACAAGAAATTAGAGAAATATCAGGTCTCTTGAATTAATATCTTTGAACGTAGAGGCTTGGAAATATAGAATCGTTGGATCTAGTCTTTGAAATCTTGAATCTTAAGGTCGAAGGGGTGAGAAATGTTGAATTTCTTAATTTAGAGGCTTGGGAGTCTAGAATATTTGGCTCTAAACTCGTAGAAATGTAGAATCTTTGAATCTAGAGGTTTAAAAATGTAGAATCTTTGAGGTTCGGAGCTTAGAAATCTAAAGTTTTAGAAATCTAGAATCCTTGAATTTAGAGGTTAAGAAATGTAGAATCTTTGAGGTTAGAGTCTTAGAAATCTAGAATCTTTGAATCTAAAGTCTTAGAAATCTAGTATCCTTGAATTTAGAGCCTTAGAGATCTGTAATATTTGAATCTAAAATCCTAGAGTCTTAAAAATTCCAAATAATTTTCTTAAATTGCTACCAATAACGCTTACTTTCTCCAGCACTTCCCAAGTCGTTCTCACAGCAGGATTTATCTTGTAGAAGAACTCGTTTATGGAGACTTTCACTTGGAATAGCGGATTATGCTTTATGTGCGTTATGGAATAACCAATTCCTTCGTCTCCGCGACACGCTAGATCGTAGAACCATTTGACCAGGTCGTGTAGCAGGTAGCGTTTTGGCCTGCGAAACACAACAGATATGGGAGCTTAACTCGACTAAAACATTCTGGCTTTGGTATCGATTATAAAGATTTTCTGTACTGCGTACCCAACGAATTGGTAAGTTTTTCCAGCTGTGTGACAGTTCCGTGCAATGGCAACGATACCAGCAGCTACGTCGGACACGTGTATAGGTTGCTTTTCAGTTTTCAGGCCTTTTTCCCATAATGGCACTTGCCTATAAGAAATCGAATCGATAAATAGAATAGAAAAAAGAGAAGATGCATAGAAGCGTAACCTCCTTGCGAATTCTTCATTTTAGGAATTCTTTTCCTTCATAAACAATAGAAATTACATCTACATCTTCACTTCAGAAAAAACTTTCTATATATTTCGTTGTAAAAATATGCATTATTTAGAGAGCTAAGAATTTTTGAAGGTTAGTCAACTTTTTAACAGACTTCGAAAAGGAGGGGGTTACTCAATTCGACATATATATATTTCTTTTACTCGTTAGAAGTTACACTTCAAAATAATGTGCGATAGAAGATTAATTAAACACGTTACCCCAACGATCGTCTTGCCGCATGCATGTAATGGGTCATAAATTCATCCTCCTGTCCATATATAACCGATGGCCTAATAATGGTAGCTTCTGGGAATTCTTCTCTCACCGCGCACTCCCCTAGCCATTTCGTTTTAAGAATCGTAGAGCCTTCTGGCAAAATCCGTGGCTAGCAAACGAAATCGAACGTACATTTTCAACATACAAATTATCATCTCTGTACCTTTGCATGCTTTACAACTTCACTAACGAACAACTTACTTCGGGATGTTCTTCTGCGTTCAAACAAGACACGTGAATGAAACGTTCCACGTTGCACTGCTTGGCGAGCCTAGCCAACGTTCTAGCTCCTTCCACATTTACATCGTAGAGATCGTAATTTCTTGATTCCACATCCTTGCCAACTAAGTTAACGACGACGTTGGAGTATTTAATGCTTCTGATTATAGACTCCTCGTCCCTCAATTCGAAGGGATGGAACAGAACCTGTCCCAAGTCTCCGCACAACTTCAGAGGCATTACAAAGTAACGGTCGCATCTGTGCGGGAGAATCAACTGCAAGAAAGCATAGTTTGTTAATTTGTGTATCAGAAAAAAAATTGAAATCGACAGAGCTATTACATAAAATCAAAGTTTGATATTATTCAGCTCCGATATTAATAGATAATTCCTATTTACAGAAAGAAAGAAGAATTCGAATAACGATACAGCAAGTTACTTGCCTGCGTACCGATTTTCCCGAGACGATTGCACACGTATCGTCCGACAAAGCCGTTGCAGCCGAAAATGGTGCAGACTATTCCATTGAAAGAGCTACGACCTCCGGTGCCTCTCTTCAACTTGGCTGTAGTGGGGTTCTTGATGATCTTGGGCTTCGAGGAGCAGCTGCGGCTCTGTGCGGCGTAACACGCAGCGTATGCATTCTGGTTTTCTGCGTCACCCAATAGTTGATCGTTAATACTAAACCTACCATGACCTGAATGACAGTTCTCAAACTTCTCTGTGCAGTTTTTATATACGATACATAAATTATAAACAATTGTTTCATGCGTTGTTCAATGTAGTGTAAAGTGAAAGGTTTTTGTACCCAATTGGAGAAAGTGTTTATAAGAGCATTTAATTGATTCGGATAAAAAAAGGTATAAATGAAAGGTCGGTAGGTTTAGTATTAACGTTATATAATTAGAAGAATAACGAAGACGCTACAGGACATCGAGTTCACATAATCGCGCGGCAGCGTTTAAATAATTGGAGCTCAGGATTACCGTTATTGAAAGGACATCGAGGTGAGACGTCGAACGAGCAGGATTATAATAAACTTACTCGCAACCTGTATAGCAGCCTTCGGAATCCAAGCCGCCATGACTGCTGCATTCGGCTGACACTACTCTGGTGACAAGAGGTGAATTCGATGGGCGATTTACAATCGCGACATCCCTAGATATCTTCGGAATAATTCCCTAGATATATATAAGAATTCCCTAGAATAATAATAGAGTACTATTATAGAAACGAAATTCTTGTTTTTAGGTGCCCGAGGACATATGCGGATTACGCATATGTTATAGTAACGAAATCGTTAATACGTTTACGATTGAAGTAAATATAAGTTTAATTTAGCATCGAAGAATTACATTATTTGTATTTTCTTTGTGGGGCGATCAAGGCACCACTGTCTTTGTCGTAATAGATACTTCACTGACGCTAGGAACAGTGCGCATGCGCAAGCGGCGGCCATCTTGATGTCACGTGTTCAGAATCGGTCGATAAAATTCTCCGTGCTATCTCCGCGACACTCACCATCGAAATACGAAACTATGTTGTTGTAAACATTGCCATTTTGCCACAAGTGTCGTTAGCCGTTAGTTTAAACGTCACTATTAGTCCTGTTTCTTTGCATAGACTACTCATAATTTGCTTACAACCTAAGAAAATAAAATATATATAAATTCCCAAGGATTTATCAGACTTTTCTGCTGTCACATATTCCGTGTCGCCTGTCTTATTATACATATCCAGTATTAGACCGTGATGTATCATTAGACTCACGAATAATTTGTACACAATGATATCTTAATTTTTATTATTTTTATTGGTAATTATAACCTATAAAAAGGGACAATTGAATTTGTTGTGTTCTAGGTACTGCATTTAATAGTTTATATTGGTTTATATTTGACAACGCCTAATCATGACAGATATGGAATCCAATAAGGAAGTAGACGTGTTTAAAGACATGCAAACCAAGTTCAAGTCCATCCAGAAACTGTTGGATGACGATAAGAAATTCAGTATACAGAGCGAACCGTATAAAATGAAATACGAAGCTATAGAAATTCTGCAAACTATGGAAAGAGACATAGTTGATCATCTTACAACAAACACATCTACAGAAGAGGGTGAAACATCGCTTGCATTTATACAATTACAGCTCGGTTTACTATATGTCGATACGGAGCAATTGAAAGCCGGAGAAGTATCATGCACAAAATGTCTGCAAGTATTGAAAGACAAAACATTGGATCCATCAGCAGTTTCCATAGTGATCTCTGCTCTGAATCAGTTAGGTTTAATATGGTCTCATTGGAATGAACCTATGCAGGCTAAGACTTTCTTAGAACGCGCAGAGAAGATCTACTATGATTTTAAAAACATGGATGGCGTATGCAAGTTTCCTGTTCATTTACCTATGATCGGCTTTAAAGTAACGAAAAACAAACCATGTCCTCAAGAAACATTCGAGAGTATCCATACTTTAACGCTGTACTTCTTAGCTCAAGTATACAAGTCTCTGGAAGACAATCACAAAGCCGCTATGTACTGTCATTTGACTTTACGCAGGCAGTTGGGTGGCGATACCATAGCTGAAGACCTGGATTATATCGATTGGGCGTTAAACGCAGCTACCCTGTCGCAATACTTCATGGAGAACGATAGCATTCCTCTAGCCAAGCATCATTTAGCAGCCGCGTCTTATGTATTACAGAAGTACGAAGACATATTGAAAGTTCAAAGTTTGAACGACGGAGGAAGCGAAGAAATGGAAGCCAAGTGGGAAAATTTCAAGCACAGAAGCGCAGACGTAGCTAGATGCTGGGCTAAATATGGAATTTTACTTATGTGCATATCGAAACAAAGACTTCTAGATGATGGGGGAACAAAGCAAGGGAACGATGGGTTGGATAATGAAAATCCCCCAATGCCAAACCTGACTGATTTAAAATTTGATATTTTAGAGAAAGATATAGAGCCAATCGCGAGCCGAATCACTGATAAGTACCTGTTAGATTTCGAGGATGCCAGACTAGTGTTTTTAAACGTCCAGAAATGGTTGGACCAAGCAAAGTCGTATTACACATTAGAGGATCATGCATCCGATCACATAGCCATCGTACAAGATGTTTCCCAAGCGTACATGTACCTAGCATTCTTCGAAGAAGACGAGGACAGACAAGCGAAAATGCACAAAAAGAGAATAAACATTCTCGAAGATGTCATCAAGGAGATAAGTCCGCGATACTACAGATCCGCTTGCAGGCAGATTTGGATCGAATTAGGAACAACCTACTCGGATCTTCTCGAGATAAAGCTCGATCGTTCCCGTGACACGAAGCGAACGCCGCAAGCAGTGGCAAAGATTAATCACCTAATCAAAAGTTCCATAAAGAATTTCCAATCGTTCATCGATTCCTTAGAAATTGGTACTTCCAATTCCGGAACCGAACTTCCCGACGACGTGTTGCATACGGCCCTGATGGCTCACTTTCACATCGGTAGATTGTACAATTCAATAATATCCACCGACAAAGCAGTCTTAATAGAGAACACGCAAAACAGTCTGAACGCTTACAAATTCGTGATCGATTACTGCGAGAAGCATAGCAACGCGAGGGAATTAATTAAATGTGAATTGAGCTTTTGTAAAGAAATAGTCAGTCTACTCCCCTTGAAAATACGGAGAATACAAGAAAAGAGTTGGTGAACCTAGATTCTATGTCCTTAGATGTAATTCGATATTATCTGTTAAAATAAAATGCTTAAATAACTGTTCGAAGAAGTTAAATGTTCGGTTACATTATGTACAGTTGCGAAGCTTGTTTTAGTTCTAAGACTATTTTATTATTATAAAATAATTACAATATGAACGCGTGTTGTGTAAATTGTATCACAAAATTGCATTTCTTTTCGTTTAAGGGATCATTCTGCTTTATTGGTCAATAGAAACATGCTTCTTCGCTAAGTTTTTTTTTAAATATTACGAAACCATTTATTTTAATCTTCATGCATATATTTATTATGCTTTTAGAATTATATTAGAATTTTTTCAAGAAGAAATATGAATGTTATATTGAACTATCTTTAATTAAAGAATAATCTATTTTAAAAGCATAATAAATATACGCATGAAGTTTTAAGTAAATCGTTTTGTGATATCATTTCGAAAGAAATGAGCGAAAAAGCATATTTTTCTTGGCCATTAAAGTAGAATGACCCCTCAGAATTCTATGTATCGTACTACATTAAAACACAATAAAAAAAAAAATTGCCTAAGTAGCTCGGATTTTTATACTTTGTAACAGACTATTATTATTATAAATTAAAGAACCGAGAGGTGTACATACAACAACAACAACAACAAGAACGTGCTGTTTTATAATTTTATATTTATTTCATAAAATAAAAAATTACTTCTTCTCCTCCGTCTTCGCAGTCTTCGTCGCGTCAGGGGCTTTAGCTTTCTTGATCTTCTTTTTCAATCTGTAAAACGCGTCCGATCTGATCTTATTTCTAGTTTGCCTCGCTTTTCTCAATTTGAAGCGGTCGAAGTCGCTGAGCTCCATACGCTGAAATCGATAAATATTTGTCATCGAAAAATCGACTAAAAATTGTTATATATTATTTATAAACAATATTATATACACTAATTATATATAATATAGTTTACACTATATATAAATTATATATACTAAGTTTTAAGCGTGGCGTTTACCTTCTTCTTGGCTTCGACCTTTCTCGCCCACATGGTGTCTTTCCACAGTTCGCTGATCTTTGCAGTTTCCCATGCTTTGCGTACGACTCGGGTGGATCCAGTGTACGGGAAACGTAAACGGAACTTGGTCAAGTGAAGCTGGTTCAGCCTCATCTCTCCGCGTGGAACGCTCGTCGAGGGCCCGTCCACCAAAACCTGCAAACGCAATCGGAGTTCAATATGTTTCTCGTTGAATTTTCTATGCTGAACTCGAAGAATCTGGTGTCAGTTAAATTATATTGGCATCAGTGAAACGTCAGCCGGCAATTCCTATCAAGATAAATGGATCATCATTGCGCAATGTTGTATATATAAGTTGATAATACTAAGTTAACATTGTTCTTACCCGATTCTGGTCGATGACATCCACGATTGTCACAAGTTTCCCCTGGTGTGGCCCATCGCACACATAGGCGACACGGCCAGATTCTACGAATCTCTGGAACGGCTGTTGGGAGCAGAAGTTTGTTAATCCTCATGTTATTAGATAACGGTCATGCAACGATCAATGTTGCAATGGAGCTCATAAGTTGACTAAAAAGTGCTCTGAATTTTCTAATTTACAAATGGAAAAATAATGTTTGTAAATTCTTTAATTAAAGGATAAGCATTGATTGAATTCAGGATGATCAGTTTGAAAGGAAGTTGGTTTAAGGCACGAGCCAGTAAATCTTAGGAAAATTAAACGAAAATTAATTCTCGTTTTTTATTCATTAAAATACTTGAATGTTTGTAGAAATTGGAAGCGTTTACCTTTTGTTCGAGCCTAACATGCTTTACACAGGCGTAAATAAGTCTACCATGTGCTAGAATTTAGGGGTTATATCTAAAGATATTTCACATTCTCTACGCCTTATGGAAAACACGAGAGGCAAATTAAAGCACATGATAAATAATCGAAGAAACATGATCGAATCGATAAAGTTTACACCGGTGTAAAAATTCTACGTGTAATATCGTTAACTTCCAAGCAGAATCTCACTTACCATGGTTGACCGGAAGCGAAAGACCAATACAGCTTACAACGGGATAAAATATCCGTGCTGCCAACCGTTGAAAATAATTTCTCCCTATTTATATATTAAAATCCCTATTGACAGTAATGGCGGGCAGAGCGCGCGCTAATCGGGCGCTGTGATTGGTCAATGGTTTTTCGTTGATAATTCAAAAACGAAGCATCGTTCAACATTTATGCAAAGGAAATTGTTGTTCAGAATCGTCTCACCTACCCAACAATTCATCCAATATAGTCGTTCTACAAATCGAGGAAGCGGCAATTTCGAAATGACAACTGAAGGTTCCCCTTCATTTCCTGACACATATCCTTTTAATTTTACTCCATTTCCCAGTACATTTCCCTTGAATTTCCTTACATTTCCTGGTACATTTCCCATTAATTTCCCTTCATTTTCTGGTACATTTCCCTCTAGTTTCTAGTACATTTTTGGGAAATGTGCAAGGAAATGAAGGGAAATTAATGGGATATATGCCAGAAAATGAAGGGAAATTAATGGGAAAATTTCCACAAAGTTATATACAATGTCATTATTTTATAAAATCTTATTAATACTTATTAAAGCCTCATTTGAAGAATTAACAAAATTAAACAATCTTCAATTGTTACGTTTTAGAATCTTGAATTGCTTGCTCTTTTCGAAATACCGCGCAACAGCCATGTTTATATGCAACGTTGCCACGTTCTCGAAACAGCGGGCGCTCCACCGGCATACTCGCGCTCTGATTAGTCGAGGAGCGCGGCCGCATCGCGCTCTGATTGGTCAGTGTTTTCCGTTAATATCTCCTCAACGAAGCCTCGGACAACATTTTCGCTAAGGAAAAAGTTGTTTCAAATCACCTCCCGAACCGCCCCTTTCAAGGTGTTGCAACATTTTTGTGCATTTTTGGGACACCCTGTATATAGTCGAAGACTATAAGCCTCCTGTCAAACGGCGACGAAAAATCACGAAATTCAAAAATTCAAATGAACATATCTAGCGAACTAAACGCTAAATTGAACCCATATTTCACACAGACATCAATTAAGATGTTAATTGTAAGTCGTCAAAATTATGAGACGATTTGTTATCTGTTATCACTTTCGACCAAACTACCTTAAAGTCATCCCTGGTATCGCTATCGGTGGTATTCCGTATTTACTTCAAACTATCAATCACTATCAATGAACGATCGTCTTAAATCGCTCAGCAGTGAAAATGAAATTAACAGCTGGGATAATTCTGACAAGACTAGGGAAACGATTTAACATTAATCTCGTTCAATTGTGTAACATCACGAATATTCCTAAAAGATGTTACAGCGAAAAGCTAGCTAAACCTAACCTCTACAACATCAAGAGTAAAAGCAATGTACAAACAAGCAAAATTGGGTTGTATGGATATTGTTTACTGGCAAGTAGAAAAACATTTGTCATATAACTGGGAACAAGTTGTAGAACAATAAATCTTTGTCTTATTTTTGAAAATTAATTAGCAACATTAACGTTTGTTATTAATTCAGAGCGTACCGATTGCCACATTTATACTTGGTACGTGGCAAGTTCAAAGACGCAGATGGAAGTTGAATCTAATAGAGTCTTTGAACGAACGTACTACTCACGATCCTCTTCAACTACCGGCTAAGTAAGATTATTTAAATATATACAAGATAATACAGCATTATACAACGAATGAATTCATATAATTTGATTTAGTTTAGAGGAATTAGAATCGATGGAGTATTACCCCATCAAAGTGAAAGGTGAATTCATATACGAGAAAGAATTCGTTGTAGGATTTAGAAATCTGATAGTAGATGGTAAAACCGAAGGCAGCGGTTCGTTAGTCGGGAATAAAGATGCTAAGAAAGGGTATTGCGTTATTACACCCTTTAAATTATCGGATCGAGAGTAAGTGATATAAAACGATCCTAAATAAATACACATTCCTTTCCTTTTTGCTAACATTCCGCTATTACAGTTTGACGATTCTGGTAAATCGTGGCTGGGTTCCAAGAACCCATAAATCTTTAGCGAAGAGGCAGGAAAATCAAATAAAAGGAGAAATAGAAATTACAGGAATTTTAAGGCTGAACGAACATCGACCACCGTTCGTTCCCAAACACAGGACAGACACTGACATATGGTCTTACAGGTACGGTAGTGCTATACAGTAGAGTTACTAGTCCCGTTAATTTTGCTGTTAACTTTAACATTAATTCACAGAGACGTGAATGCAATGGCTGAGAAAGCAGGGACAGCTCCCATCTATCTGGAAATGGCTTACGATAAAGATCTACCTAAATTTCCAGTGGGAGGTCAAACGCAAGTGCATTTAAGGAACGAACATCTAAGCTATATAATCACATGGTATTCCCTCTCCGCGTTTACTGGGTATTTGTGGTACAAGGTAGTCTCTAAGAGGTTGCGTGCGATATAAGTTTACATGTAAATCGAGAAACAAGAATAAAATAAGTGGCGAATTCGAATGGAAGTAGGGGATTCGTAGGGAAAAGTGAATTCGACGCTAACGGAATAATAGAAATCCTTCGTCCAAAACATCGCCTTTTATTATTACTATCATTATTATTATAACAACAACGATAACCACTACCAACAAAACTGTCAACAATGGTCATGGTATACAATTACATTAAAGGAGTTAGCATAGAAAATACAGATATGAAAATATACCATACAAATATGAAAATACACCATGTACATGCTACATCAACTTTCCTTTAGTTTCATTATATCACGTGATATTTAAATGTAATCGATTCGAGCGACGTGGTCGCTTTCAAACACTCGCAAGAAATTGCACGAACGATAATTGCGGCGAAGGAACGCCTCGGTTTCCCGGACTTTTTTGTGCATTCGCGAAAACTCGTGATTGACTTACAGTTACGTTACACAACCGATCGTGGCATTCCAGTATTTTCAGGTAGCGCGAGAGGTATCGGATTCGTTCGAGAAACGTACTTATGGCGTTCTTTAATTTAATCATGAACACTCGTATCAAAGAAAAAGATAAGACGCGACTCCATGGTGTTCCAAAGGCTCGTCGCGTTCACCCCGATGACTTTTTATCACTGGAAGATGTTCTAGATAAGGTCTCGAGTACACAGGTGAGAACAGTTGACTGACTCGTTACTTTCAAGCTGTTCGCTTAGAGGAATGCAATGTATAATATACCAAGTTTACTCTGTGTTAATTTAGTTAACGCCTGGAACGATATTAGATTTATTGTCGACGAAATTATCGAATTAAATAGACGTAACAAGCGTTAATCCTAGGTGCACGGAATACATTCTAAAATAAACCTTCCTAGAGCACTCTTTAAAAATATAAAATATGAATCTCGGATTCCTCGATCCGTAACAATTTTATAATTCATATATCGGATAAGAGAAAATTACTTTTGTTATTTCTCATTAATCTCTAACTATTGCACGTTTCTGAATGGTGATCGCAAAGCTGGCACGGATTGGTGACGCGAAATCGTTTTATTCTGTTCGTTGTAAAAAAAAGAAAATATATATATATATATTTTGTGTATCAACTGTTGGTCCTCGATCAATTCCGTTTCCCTCAAAGTACATCCTTCTCGCGTTTTTGTACTAAATTATCGATCAGAGCCCTCACGCACGCTCGCCGTACTTTTACACATTGAGAAATGTAACAAATATTAATTAACATTAATATACGAGCTCTAATATCAACTTTACCTAGCAGACTTTCAACTTGTACAAAGCAAGTTCGACAAAGGTGCGATCACTATTTTAGTACCGGCTCCTCCTTTCTATCTAGCATCGTTAAGACGTGTTTGTTTACTCGTTTAGAATACAGGTACGGACGAGGGCGTCGCAGACGGAGTAAGGATCGCAGTTGCTGCTGGGTCTCCTGTCCTCCAGGTAGCCCTTCTTGTCCTCGGCGACACCGCGAGGGATGCGAATGCTAACGTTACGGTTGGCTACGCCGGCGCTGAAGTCGTGTATACTGCTGGTCTCGCATTTTCCAGTTAGACGACGCTCGTTGTCCTTTCCTCCACGAGGATCGTACGCCTGGATGTGCCTGAGGTGTTGCTTGCTCAGCTTGTCGATGGCCTTCTCGATCTCAGCGATTCCGTTCTCGGAGCGCATCGGTTTCGTGGAGAAATTCGTGTGGGCCCCAGCTCCGTTCCAGGAGCCTTCCATAGGCTTCGGGTCCAGTGAGACTATCACACCGTACTCCTCTGCCACACGATGGAGAATGAATCTAGCGACCCACAGGTCGTCCCCAGCGGATATACCGCTGCAAGGGCCGACCTGGAACTCCCACTGAGACGGCATAACCTCTGCGTTCGTGCCAGCAATCTTCACACCGGCGTAGAGACAAGCCCTGTAGTGGGCTTCGACGATTTCGCGACCGATCACTTTGTCTGCACCGACACCACAGTAGTATGGACCCTGGGGACCTGGGAAGCCATGCTTCGGCCAACCCAACGGCCTACCATCAATGTCCAAGAAGGTATACTCCTGTTCGATACCGAACCAGGGATCTTGATCTTTCACGCTCTCCATCGCGTTGTTCGCAGCGAAGCGTTTGTTGGACGCTGTCGGGGTCTTGTCGCTGTGGTAAGTGTCGCAGAGCACCAGCTTGTTGTTCCCACGACGGAATGGGTCGTTGTAGATCGCCACCGGGCAAAGGTAGATATCACTGTTTGCTCCATCTGCTTGCATCGTGGAACTGCCATCGTACGTCCAGATTGGTAATTCTGAAAATGTTCAGGGATACTTTAGTATTGTTGATACTTAATTCAGGGGGAAGAGGAGAAGGAGGAAGAGGAGGATTAGAGGAAGGATTTATTGACATAATTAGCATTCTAGTAGATGGCAAATGTAATACAACCGCAGTAGAAATGTAATAGAAATTCTCTATTAAATGAAGTCTTAATTAACCCTTTACTTACTGAATTTCTCAAAAGTTTTTAAAATCTAGGCATCCATTTTGGTTTTATATCATCTTATAGAGTAGTGTTTAACAAGCTTCCAAAAGAGGAAAAGTGAGAAAAAGCTTGTGCTGCTTTAGAGATCAGTGTTACCAGATTCGGCTCCTACTTGCGCATGCGCGTCAATAACACCTGAGCGGGCAGTGCCATAGCTATAGGAAACAATGTTCGATCCCATAGCAACAACGGTTGGCGCCGAAACCAGGAAAACCGTTCTTTTTATTTATAAAAAATGTGCATTGTAAAACTACTTCAAATCCTATCTCTATTGCATGCTACGAAGTATTTGCAATTTTCATTTATAATTCTATTTTTCTTTTGGGGCGACCAAGGGCGCCAGTTTTGTGTTCATATCAGATACTTTACTGACGCTACAACCGGTGCGCATGCGCAACTGGTAGCCAAACCTTGCATCACAGGACCAGAATCATAAAAATTGCAGAATTCGATCACCAAATCGTCGAAATTGCTGTTATGCAGTTTGATTAGCGAAACTATAGTTTATTTATTTAATTCATAATGGTTTTTGTAACGTGAGAATCAAACAGAAGCGTGTGCAATTTTGAAATTAATTTAGTACTGTATACTGTAGGGTAGCACGCATACGCAGCCAGAGTGACCGTTAACAGTGCCGTAACTACGATAACAGAAAGGGTGCTATGGCTATTGTGGCTATGAGTGCGAAATCACGAATATACAGGGTGTCCCGAAAATGGTGGAGATCATTGAAAGGGGTGGTTTGGAAGGTGATTTGAAACAACTTTTTCCTTAGCCAAATTTTGTCTGGGGCTTCATTGAGGAGATATTAACAGAAAACGTCGACCAATCAGAGCGCGAGGCGGCGGCGCTCCGCAACCAACCAGAGCGCGAGTATGCCAGTGGAGCGCCCACGGTCGTATGCTATGCGCTATTGGCCGCGCTCCACCGGCAAACTCGCGCTCTGGTTGGTCGGGGAGCGCGGCCGCCTCGCGCTCTGATTGGTCGGGGTCTTTTCTTAATATCTCCTCAACGAAGCCTCGGATAACATTTTAGCTAAGGTAAAAGATGTTTCAAATCACCCCCCCGAGCCGCCCCTTTCAATGTGTTACAACATTTTTGGGACACCCTGTATTTGTAAAACTATGCAGGGGTAAGTAAGATACCCCTTTTTGCTTCCAAGCAAGTCGTCCCAGGGTCAAAGGGTTAATTCATCAACAATGCAACATTTCACGAATGCAAACAAATGATATTGACAATGTCAAACGAGAATCTAATTACCTACCTACGCGATTGGTTAGCGAAACCCACGTGATATTCAATGCGTATGCGAATCAATTCGTAATGCGAATCACGTTTCCCGAGATATATAATTCAATTAACTAGAATACGTTTAGAAACGATCCATCGTTCGCGAGATTAATATGTTATTTGTTACAACGTTCAACAGAAGTATCTAATCGTGCCCGGCATTATCCCCATGATAAAGGCTCGAAGCGGCGAAAGCCCGTTCGTGCTCGTCGCTCAACATTCGTTAGGCGAGAGTCTGTTTTATTTCGTTCGGAACATTTGTTTTGCATTCTGCGAGCCAGTCACGACTCGAGCACGCGATTCATTGTTAAACAAAGAGCAACCTTCGATAAGTGGTCGCGGTAAATATTCTTCTCGAAGAATATTAATATTCCCAGATGGGAGCGGAGGGGGAGGCTGCCAATAATGAACATGGCGGCGCGCACACTCGATCGATTCTGCACGTGTGCATCAATCGTTTGTCATTGTCAATGTCATTCGATTCGCGTTCACGAAACGTTGCAACTGTACATTCATAAATTCGGTACATTTATATATTCGATCGCGGTATCTGCGTCTACATGTTTCGGAGAATTTTAATTTCAATTTCAATTTCAATTTTAATTGAATTTCGATCCTCCATCCTTCACTTCCGCTTCGATATTACTGAAATATAATCGGAAATTGTTTACCAACCCGATGGATGTTTAGGTACGAATTCCACCGTCCTAGTCTTGCTCCTCAAATGCTCGCCAGTGCCGTCGATCCAAATGTACTTCGCCTGTACTTTATCTTCCGGCTGGGGCAGATCCAAGTACCTGTTCAACAAGGTCTTGTCCAAGGCTGCGTTAGGCGACTCCCACAGTATGGAACGTGACATCGTGACTCTGTAACATAATACAGACAGTGGCGGTTTCAGCAATGTCGGCGCCCTGGGCGAGATTATCGTGGCGTCCAAAAAATAAAAAAAAATTATTTCTAATTAAAAAAAAAAGTAAAAAGAAAAAGATAAAAGTTTGTCCCATGATCAAACTTTTGTCACAAAATTACAAAAAAAAAAAATTTTTTAATTTCATTTGTAATTGAAAAAAAAAGATAGAAAAAAATGTGTACCATAATGGAACTTTTGTCATCTAAACGGAGCAAAAATTAAATTTGTTTGGTGGGTTAAAAAAGAAAGGAGATTGCGAAAAAATTATCGGCAGCATTAGATACGTCCCTGAAGCTAGAAACGGTGCGCGCGCACTAGTTGAGCCGTCCCTGGCACCATTGAGAACGTGCCGCCGTGACGTGTTAAGGTGATGCACGGGTACGCTGACGATATTTTCCAGATTTATTCTTGGTGGACCAGAGAGATAGGTGTGTCCGTGTATTATGTAGCTCGCACACGAGGTATCATGCGTCGGGCACGTGTTTCTCGCGTGCACGCCGATCATGCATGCAAACGGTCGTCTGCGGTCACTCACACAATGCTTTTAGGGGTCTTTAACCGGAAAGCCAAACGCGCGTGTACGAATATTTCTTACAGCAGAAGGACGTTCCCGAATATTTTTGGAATACTTCTGTCTGAAACGATACACGCTTTGAAAGTCCAAGTCCCCTCTACCAATACAATCGTTAGACTTTTCTTTAATCCATTACGATCCTTAGAAATCGTATCAGCCGAAGAATAACAAACCTTTTCTTTTTACCAAGAGAAATAAAAAAACTATTTCTGTTGCTTTGTTTTCGAAAACCCATTTCCACGGAATTATTGAGATTTGGTTCTATGGATTAAATTCGAACATAATATTCGAAAGCGATAATTTACTATCAGAAATGCCACTTTCCTATCGTAAACTTCGTATGTTTCGCGTATGTATAAATATGATAAGGAAATGTCGAGAGGAAGATAAGAGCTATCGCCGAAGCGTGTGCTTAGCCCGCGTACTTCCAAAATCGATTTTCTCGAAAACAAAGCTTTGCGTTTACAGGGTTAACTTTGAGTATACAGGGTGTCCCAAAAATGTTGGAGGTCCTTGAAGTTGAAAGTTTAAAATTGAAAGGGGTGGTTCGGGGGGTGATTTGGAACAACTTTTTCTTTTGCGCAAATGTTATCCGAGGCTTCGTTGAGAAGATATTAACGGAAAACACTGACCAATCAGAGCGCGAGGCGGCCGCGCTCCCCGACCAATCAGAGCGCGAGTATGCCGGTGGAACGCCCGCGGTCGTGGGCTACGCGCTATTGGCCGCGCTCCACCGGCAAACTCGCGTTCTGATTGGTCGGGGTTTTTCGTTAATATCTCCTTAACGAAGCCTCGGACAACATTTTCACAAAGGAAAAAGTTGTTTCAAATCAACTCCGGAACCATTCCTCTCAATGACCTCCACAATTTTTGAAAAGTGTGTCCAAAGACTGTGCGAGAAAGAGAGAGAGAGGTATTGGGTGACATTCGTTCCCTCTGCGCATGCGTCAACAACGTAACCTGCACTCTTTGAATATACATATTCAATGTATCTTTTTATGAACTATTTCATCACTGTATACTCAAAAGCTTTTAGGAGCATTTTCATCCGTTTTGCATTAGGTCCTTTTGATACGATTCATTGTCCCATGTCGAATATTTCATACCGTTATCTAAAACCAACGCGCCTGCGCAACTGGGAGTGTCGAATCATCACCGTTGTCTGTATATTCCATCTTCTACTCTTTTCGATACAGGCTCCCCCCAAGAGAGAACAGCTTTCAAGTTTTTTTTTTGTAGAGACGCGAAAGCTCATGAATAAATTATGACGCCGCAAATAGTTCACCGACCTACTTCTAGATCACGACTGAAATAGAATGTAACCTTCCATGTACGGTGTTCCCTTTCTTATCGAGCCGTCCCGTAAAGTTAATTCTAAGTTAATTCTTTAAGCAGTTTGGTGTCGATAAAGACGATATCCAAGGCGATATATCGACTCGTATATTGAATAATATAGGTTGTACGATTACAGGAAAATATTTACACTTACGGCCAGAAAAATAAGTGCTATCTTGTACAAACACGTTTTATCGGGTTGGATAAAGAAAGCTGTGTACATATCGAAAGGCACCGATATGAAATGTTTACGATAACGGGATCTAATATCGATATAGACAATAGTGTCTAGTTACGGATGTTTACAAACAATAATCGATAGATATAATTAAGTCTTTCTTGAGTCGCTGACAATGCATTTGTCTAGTCGATGCGACTACCAACATAAAAAAAAAAAAAAATGTCGAATCGAATAACCTCCTCCTTCTTCGAAGTTGGTTAAAAATGGAATATTTCTGTTTACAATTTATGTAATTAAACGTGGATAACAAGCAACGGAGACCAACGTGTTACGTGAGTATTACCGCCGAACGACCTTCGCGAGGATGTTTTGGTTGTTCAAACAGAATATATAGATAGGATAGTCGGGTCTCGAAAACCGGTTCACAACCGCGGATAGTTGCCCGCAATTACCGTGAGACCATTTTCAATTGCGTGTACGGAACGGGTTACATCAAATGAAATTATTTACCGCACGTGAGAGATAAACCTGCCAGTTATCCCGCGACAATATTTACAACGTCTCTACATGCGTACGCGACGCTCGCGTAATAAACGTCCTACCCAGGGGCGGCGCGACCCTTCGCGCGCGCGCGGCGGGGGGGGGGGGTCTCAAAAATTTTGCAGGGCCCCGAATTCGCATCCGAGTCCAACGTTTAAACTTTGTGGGGAGAAATTGTTTATTTACTAATGCTGTTGCATATTGTACAGGGTGGACCATTTAAAAAAAATTATATTATTCAACAAAATTTGTTCAAGGTATGAGACATTTGTTATTTTGTGTTGTTTTAAAAACGGTAGAACTTTCCGCTAGACCTAATATTTTTTATAAGATGAATATTAAATAATAGTACTTTATTATTATTATGATATTAATAAATAATTATTATTTAATAATAATAATAATAATAATAATAATAATAATAATAATACACACCATATCTGTTAATGGTGTCGTCATTCTGTAAATGGTTTAATGAAAATCGATGCCTTTTGATTCGGTAATTTTCCCAGATCGCGGGTCCGGGGTCCCGGAGCTGCTTGCGCCGGCCCTGGTCTTACCTCCTATCTAAATCACTTACTACAAAGTGATCGTTAGAGATGTTTAAACGAAATGCGCTGTTTCCTCTTTCTAGGTATCAACGTTTATCGTAACTTACGAAATGTTGACCCTGTACGTGATAAGCAGTTAACTCACGCTTACTTTTGTTGCTTTGCACAATGTATCGTTCACTGGATCGGATTTCCCCGCATCGCAACATATACTTAGCCTGACATTATATTATTACTTATAATTTGTTATAATTATTAGTTACAAAATAAAATAGTCTCGAATGATGTAGAAATATTATCTTGTGACGTCGCATGAGGGCATGTTTTCATGTTATCTTCGCTTCACTTCGATTTGTAGATCCGTGATTACAGGGTGTCCCAAAAATAGTGAAGGTCATTGAAAGAGGTGGTTCGGGAGGTGATTTGAAACAACTTTTTCCTTTGTGAAAATGTTGTCCGAGGTATTGTTAAGGAGATATTAACGGAAAACATTGACCAATCAGAGGCCGCTCCATTGGCATACTCGCGCTCTGATTGGTCGGGAACCGCGGCCGCCTAGCGCGTAGCGTACGCTACCGCGAGCGCTCCACCGGCATACTCGCGCTCTGATTGGTCCGGGAGCGCGGCCTCCTCGCGCTCTGATTGGTCGACGTTTCCCGTTAATATCTCCTCAACGAAGCCTCGGACAACATTTTCGTTATGGAAAAAGTTGTTTCAAATCACCCCCTGAACCACCTCTTTCAAGGAACTCCAAAATTTTTGGGACACCCTGTATAGGCCGTGTCTACGATTATACAGTGTGTTCCAGAATTAGTGTAAATACCAGAAGTGAGGGGTAGCTAAGACGATTCTGAACAATTTCCTTTGCAAAAATATCGAACGATTCTCCGTTTTTGAATTATTAACGAGAAACTACGGACCAATCACAACGTCCGAGTAGTGCGCGCTGTGATTGGTTGGTAGTTTTCCGTTAACAATTCAAAAACGAAGCGCCATCCGACATTTTTCCAAAAGAAATTGTTGTTCAGAATCGTCTCAGCTACCCCTCACTTCTGGTTTTTACATTAATTCTGGGACACCCTGTATACATGTAAAGTCGAATAAATTTTTAACAAAAAAAATTCACCAGCTTTGAATTGTTCAAATAAGCGTTGAATTATCGTGACATTCGCATAACATTCTTCGAAAGCTAATATTTTTCTGTTTTCAGCAATTTTCAAAAATCGTCTCAGGCTACGCTAATTCTGGGACACCCTGTATAAGAGAGTAACGACAAATGAAATATTCAGCTAATGGAAATTCTTTCGCAAATAAACTATCTACCCCGTGATGGGTCACTTCGACGCCATTTTTTTTTGAACGCATAAAATTGCGATTAAAGCCAGAAAATATTTCCACTGCGGAAAGATATAATCGATCACTGCGCAAAGGAAGACTTCGTCGACAGAGATCATGATAGATTGAATAATAATTCGATCGCATGCAACACGTGAGCTTATGAATTATTAGTGAGCCAGATATTATGCTAAAGCGTGCCACTAACCTATTCTTGTCGATAAAAATGTCGCTTACGTTTATAGATCCCTCGTTTAAGAACTTAACCCCCTTTTAATCCATCGACTCGGCTGCATTCCTCTTTCTTTGACAGAATATATAATTGTCCACTTATGCATTAATTACAAATCCTTTTTTCTCTATAATAAATCTCTGTAAGAAACCTTAAATAATATTTCGAATATCGTTATTAAGATAGAAATTTCCCTGGCTGATTTCAA